TGTTTTTGCGGAACAGATTTCTTCTTCACTGCTTTTGCGCAACAGAAAGTTTTTGGACCGAATTGTCACCTGTGATGAAAAGTGGATCATGTATGATAACAGGAGACGTTCCGGACAGTGGTTGGATGCCGACGAACCACCGAGGCAATTTCCAAAGCCGAATCCTCACGAAAAAAGATTATGGTCACGGTTGGTGGTCATCGGCTGGTGTGATCCACTATAACTTTTTGTCACCAGGCCAAACCATCACAGCAGAGTCCTACTGTGCCGAAAATTGCGTCAGCTGCAGCCAGCACTTGTCAACAGAAAGGGTCCGATTCTTTTGCATGACAACGCCCGCCCACACGTTTCACAAATCACTATCCATAAATTGAACGAATTGGGGGTTGAAGTTCTACCTCACCCGCCATATTCTCAGACCTTTCACCAACCGACTATCACCTTTTCAAACATTTTCAGAACTTCCTTGCTGGAAAATACTTCATCAATCAGGACCAGGCAAAAAGCCTTCGTGGATTTCGTGGATTCTCGACCACCCAGTTTTTTTGATGGGATTTATCGACTGCTGTCACATTGGCAAAAGTGTGCTGATTCGAATGGTGCTTATTTGGATTAAATCCGATGAGTATTAAGAAAGTTATGATCGTTCAAAGTGAAACACTCAAAACGCTGAGAACTTTCCGGACAACCTAATAGAACCGCATGCTGAACCGCGCCTGTCCGTGCATACGGCAAAGGATGGGCGTGGTTGGACAAGTTCCCACCAGTTTCTCTCTGGATATCATTGTACTCTTTCACTTCGAAAGGTGATAGCTAGTAGCTGGACAACCGCACCAGCATGTAACCTTAGAAATTAATTCGAGCTGCCGTGGCCAGGGGGTTGAGCCGTGGTCTGCTCAGCACGGGTACTGCTCTCCCCAGATATTTTTGACTAGTTTATCCACTGCTTGCGGAGAAGACTATCTTGCCCAGAGAAGATGGATACGTGAGAAGAGAATCCTATCGTAATCCGCCGCGCCAGTGGACGTTTCGTAGGACGTCGCGCCCGCTAATTACGATTCCAGGTGGTACTGGTCGAGTATAGACAAGGCATGACCAAGAATAGGCATAATGTCTACATTGCCGCGCGCGACAAAACGGCAATTTACGATTCCTAGCCCATCTCCCAGAGGTGTCTCAATATCAAAATCGCTAAGCGTGCCCATAAGAGGGCGAGAAAACTTAGCATTGCAAGATACGGAGTCTAGTCTAGTTAACTGATTTGGGTTTCACTGCTCCATTCGACAAACCGAAGCATGTTTAGAATTTGCCGTGCATTCAGTTGTCCTTCGCAAATGGAGCGACAGGAGCATCGGCACGTGGTTCGGCATATGTGGGCGGGAGGGAGCGGTGGGCAACCGGGTCGGTGCGTTGCAGCTTGGTAAGGCGCTGCAAGACGCTATAAGGGTACCTTCCCCGAAAAAGGCGCCATGCAGCACCTGCTCGATGGGCACCGAATTCTGCCTGCTAGGCGTATTGATCCTACACGTCCTGGGGATTTATTGTGCCTCTTGCCTTAGATAGTAAGTTTGTTTGTTAACAAGTTCTCTCCGATCTAACCTGGACTTCGCTCAGCTGGAGCAAGCAAGCAGCAGGTAAAATGCTTTGCACATTGTTGTCGCTGATGCTTATCCTTCCGGAGTAACAGAAATCAATAAGAGCAATGAGCGCTCCTGATTCCACATTCACCATTTCGATTTCCTCTGAAAAAGTGGCGAATAGAAAAAATTCTCTTGAATTTGCATTGCACGAGTTGAGTGCTTGACACAGTAAGAACTTAATGTCGAATTGATGGAAAATGGTTATGAATACCTTTGCGAATTTCAGCCATGTTATTTGTAAACATGGCTTTGAAGTAATCTGAACATGTAGAGAGCACGATTCGATGAGCCTTGATTCGCGTTCCCTGAAAAACTTCTACTTCATCTGTGTGAAATCGTCCAGTATATCAGGAAATTACCTCTGCAACCAGAGTCACATCACATAGCACGTCACGATGTTCTGCCAACCGGGTAAAAAAGAGTAGATTGTGAGCAGAACTCTGAACAAAAGTGAGTTTCTGCCGATCAAGCGCTTCCAAGACGTGGGTATGGTGCAGCCCGAGCCTCTTATTCACCAGCTGTTGTCGCTTGCTCGCTCCATAGACCTGGTGCAGAAGGGACTGACCTAAATCAATCCCTCCCTCACACGCTCTAGCGTCTGCAGCGAAAGTGACTGTATAATGTGGAACCCTAAACCTGGCGTTTCAAGTGAGTGCATGAAGGGACTCGACGGGACTCAGAAGGAAGAGAAAGGCAGTGCGCTTTGTGGCCGCCCATATGACTAGTGAAAGGTGCCTTCAAAGGGACATTCTGAAAAGATTTTCCAAGATGAGCTGGTCCGTCGCCGCAGAAGTAAAGCAGCTCTTCGTTCAAAAAAAGTGGGGCTGGGACCTTGGGTACTTTGATGTTCAATATGTCTGCGTCCGCCATTTGATACAGGACCTGTACACCACAGCAACATGTACCGTCAGTCGCGTGGATATAGAACAATTTGGGGGCGGCAAATTACATCATTACATCCTTACAGCTCCAACTCGACGAGATCTGTTCGAAACGTCGACCCGCCTTCTAGCCCAACGTAGCGCAGGTGGAGAATGCGGGTCAACGGACCACTTTCGCCACTCGGATATATGGGGGTGAAAGCTCGAGGGCAGACGCAGCAAATATCCAAAGAGTTGTGGAGAATTATGGCGCGGCTACATAAAGCGTGTTGCGTGTCGCTGGCATGATTTGTGGGCAGCCTATGAAAGAACATATGGTCATCGCTCCTGCTTCATTGGCAGGGGTCTCCGTGCGGCGAAAATGGCACGCTTCAACCCTGCGGTCCTGTTGACTTCAGTTATGGAAAGAGATCTTGCAAGCGGAGTACAGAGCGTAGTTAAAGGTAGCTGGCACAATAAAACGACTGATACGCCTAGCAGGATTGAGTTCAGTGCCCTTGAGTAAGCCTTGCATGGCGCTTTTCCCAAAGAAGGTACCCTCATAGCGCCCTACCAAGCTGCAACATACCGACCCGGACGCCCACCGCGCCCGCCCGCCCACAACTGTCCGACCGATCCTGATACAAACAAAAAGCTGCGGCTATGAAGTCACTGAGAGTGACGAACAACATTTCGTGATCTAGGGATCAATTTTTTCAAAGGTAGAGGACACCGGGATGGATAGGAGCGTGATGAGTGGACACGGTTGAGCGCCAGACGAGACGCGCTCTGAGTTCGGAGAAAAAAGAAAATGATCGCTATCAAAGTGATTGGAGCTCTGGTTTTCCGTTAGAACTACTCTTGTCGTCAGTGCTCGCATAATTTAAGTCTACGATGATTGAGGGGATGTCTTTGCGCTACCGGGGCCCTATTCAACCAAAGTAGCGCCCATTACTCCATACTCTCTCTCCACCTGAAATTCAAGAATGTGCACCCCATCTTGCATCTCGACCTTGTTGTTCACCAAAGGCGCTTTCTGGTCGCTTTTATTTCTGCACCTTTGTTGCACTTTGGTTTTCTTCTACGGCCCATGTCCTCAATTGCAAGACGTTATCTGAAACGACTCGAATAAATGAGTTTTGAAATATGACATGGAAATAGGCTCTAACTCATTTGATTGGAGGGGCACTCTACAGCGCCAATGTGTCCTTCCCAGAGGCAGGGCTCAGGTTTCAGGTCACATCATTGGTTACGTTTAGGTTGAGTCCGCCCCTCCCCTAGGAGGTAACTTGATACGACCCCCTCCCACCCCTGGTCCCTCTGTTACGATGTCGAGCGGGGGGGGATGTATAGCACCCGTGAAACCCGCGAAAAGTCAACAACCGGGAAAAATCCTCCCCGACGCCCAAATTCCTCTAAGAAGGCAAATACGACCCTCCCCCCTCCCAACAGCGAGCGAATACGACCCTTCCTCCCCGTCATAACGTCCCTGAATCAAGAAAAATCAACTATCAATAAAATCTTTTCGGATCGTTTACCACCCCCCCCCCACCAACGATCAATACGACCCCCTTTTAGGGAATCCCCAACTCGAAGTGCCCTGTCAGGCCTAGACGGTCAGAGTCGCGCACAAAACGTTTGCTTCACGAGAGTAACTCACGGCTACTCTTAAGCCCAGTATAGAGGAAGGGACCTAGAGGCGCCTTGGTGGTCACTCTCCCTCCCCCTTTCGACGCCAAATACGTCAATCCCGTAACCAAACAGAATATTTCTGGCGAATCTTCCTTGAGAGCTCTTTAATAAAGCATGGCGTCCTAGTAACGCTTTCGTGGAATAGAATGAATATATGCGGCCATTTCTTACACTCTTCATAGAATGCGCAAAAAAAGGTAAAAAATAAACGGAGTCAATTTGCAGTGAACTAAATCATTCATTGAAAAAATCGTGCAGGAACATCCCAACACTGTGGAACTGTGTAAAGAAAAGTCGATAAACCTAGCCTGGAATGGTCAGGACTGAGTATTGCGCAAGAGCCGGCGAGGGGTGATCGTGGCAGGACCAAGGCAGCGACGGCTCGTGTGCGGTTATGAAATCATCCTTGATATGCGCTTCTCCTTACTTACATACATTCAGTGACGTAAAGGATTTGGACGAAAACGGGCTCGTGATGAATCAGCATCGCTTCCAGTGAAATGCCAGATATCAGGTTTCATTCATAATCTCAGTAGCACTCAAGGATTTGGTGCTATGAGTTCTTAGGGCAGAACGAGGCGCTCACGTAGTTCTGGTGAGGGGAGGCGGGGGTGGAAGCGGCCATGTCAGACCGTGGGCGTTCCAAGCGACTCTTTCTGCGCTTTGGTCATATGAAAAAACGAGTTCAAAGTCAATATTCTCATTTGGCCCACACACTAAC